ATGTTCCAGTAGATGTATCTTGTCAAATTCTCCAGATGGGCTTCCTGTTTCTTCATCTTCACTTGCTCCATTGGTGGCTTCACTATGTGAGGATGTTCCAGTAGATGTATCATCTTCTGCTTCAGAATCAAGTATTGTTTCTTTATCTTCTCTTCTGGAAATCATTTCTCTGTCTCTCATCACCTCATTGGTTGAGATAGATATTTCATCTTCATCATCAGAAATATTTGTTTTCTGTTCTCCTGCATTGTCATCTTCATCATTACCATCATCTGTCTGATTCTGTTGCTCCATTGGTAATGACAAGTCAGAAATCTCATTAGATTCCAGGTTTTTCACTTTTTGAGCTTCACTTGAAAGACGTTYTTCATCATCACTTTCCTCRTCACTTTCAATCTTCCTAAMTCGTCGTGGAGTTTTAGATCTTTTTACAACTTCATCATCACTGTCCTCAGAATCACTCTTTTCAAACAACCTTTGGCTAACACTTTTTCTCCTGTTCTTTGAACTGCTCTTTCGTCTTATGGGAGTTTGTGGTTTATCACTTAATCGTACAACAGGTGATGCAACCAAGATGTTGTTTATGATATCATTTGGTTTAATGGGAATTTTATCTGGACATCCTAAACATTTAGGGACAAAATAAAAAAAAGAGTTTACTCTTTTACTAAGATCCATTTTTTTTCATTTTGTGATAACGCAAAGAAAAAAGCCAAAGATAAAAACTAATAAAATGTATAATGATAATATTTACTGTATGAAAATAAATGAAAATAAAAATGAATAATTTGTTTGAAGGGAAATTACAGTGGGAAAATGAAAGGATAGTTAACTAGTGGATGAAAATACATCAATGCAAGCAAGAAATGGGAGTTTCAGGGAACAAGTAAGTATCAAAATACCTTCTTGTGGCTTTGGCCTTTCACTGGATTCAGTTTTATCTTCCTCACCATTTTCAGCAGGGAACATGTTCACCTGGAAGTTTGGAAATCCTGAMGTTGAGTTCTGTAAGGAATTGTCTTCCTGGACAAAAACATCTTGAGAAACATCTTCAGTGTCAGGAGAATATTTGGGTATTTCATCTCCTCTTGTTGAAGAATGCTCTATTTCTGGATTGATTGTGCTACTTAATCTAACTGATGACTCCATGTCTGCAGGACTATTGTAGTTGTTCATATCTTGTTTTCCCATGTCTTCAGTACCATTTAAATTTGTTTCTTCRATGTCTTGGCTGACAGAAACAMCAGCACTAGTATCCAAATCAATAGTTTCAGGAGGTGAGGTTGAGTTTTCTTCATTGATTATTGATACCTCAGAGTCTTGGGTTTCYGCTSTTTCAACATYTATTATGTTWAGTGATGTTTCTCTACTGTTGTCATTGTCAAACAGTTTCTCTGAGCTGTTCTGTTCATTTGKTGAGTCTSGACKTCTGGAGGAACCATTCTCAGATTCATCATGTCTGTCAGAATCCAAATTTCTAGGTGATTTAAAAATAAATAATGCAGGGAGTCTAAGATCGGTAATCAGTCACGTAATGAAGTGGGCTCACAATGAAAACTTAGATTTAGAATATACATGTAGTTTTAAAAATTATAAACCTTGTTTTTCAATAGGAATTGAAAGCAAGCCAAGAAAAGTCAGAATAAATCAGAGTATAACTATGATTAAGTGAAAGATCATTGTATCAAAACACCACTGAAAACCATATTAGTTTGCCTTTCAAGCCCTATTGAAAAGAGACTGAGTCAATGCAGTGTGACTTCCATAGACTTGAGACTACAATGTCATGACTTGAGAGTGCTAATTATAAAATTTGCCTACTAATAAAATTTTTTCTGATTTGAACACTCACTTGAAGGTCAAATTAGACAATACAGTTTTGTTTTCACAATCCTTGCTTCAAGATAATACAGTTTACTTACTGCTGGCTGGAGTCAGACAAAAATCTTTCATTTCCTGCAAGAGACAGGTTTGCCATGCTTGYTTCAATGTCGTCAGGTACAACAGTGATGTCTTCTTGCTTCTTGACACGATTGTTGTCATTCTTAGGGGGTGATGCAGGYGGTGTTGACAAGTCAATTACTTCTGTTGCTGCAGAAGGTATGGACTTCTGTGGAATATGATAAAAAAAGATTGAAGCAAATAATCAGCAAATGTCAAACTAGGAAAAATATACATCAAAAGTAAGTATTCTGACTGTGTCTTGTTGTTCTCCAAATAATGTCTTTTCCAAAAAAAACAACAATAATTATATTCTTCTTCAATATTGAAAGCTAACTATGTATTGTACACAAGATAACCAGTAAGTTTGCAATGATAGAGAACTGTATGTAAGATATTATCTATGATTGCACATTCACTGGTCATCTTACTAACCATGTGTAGCCAGTGCTACCTACAATGAGGGACAAAATATATGAAACCCCCCTAGCCCCTTTGTATGATATTGTAAAATTATGCCTGTATAGCCCTCCTTTGCTCTCCTAAATCAATGTTGTGTGGAAGTATTAATGCATGCCATCAAAGTTCAGTATTGACTAGGGAGAATGTGAGTTATGTGCATCTTGTTGCAATAATTGTAAGAAAAAATGTCCTCAGCATTGTTTTCCATGTTTTCTGGCCACAGTCTCTTTGAATGTTGTCCACCATTCTAGCTTTGTTGTGCAGACAACCACGTGAAGGAGACAGTCATAATCAACTTTATCATTTTGACCAAAACATGATCATATATCTTACTTTAATRTTTGGTTTAAATCTCTTTGTATCTTCTTTCTTAGGCTTGAATACTTCAAAGTTGTGCAAATGTGTTTGTATTTTTGACTTYGTGGCTTCATCGGTGATGTTGTTTATGTCAATAGGCTTTAACAATGACTTTGGGTTCTGATATGGTGCAGGTAAAATACTTTGCATAGGTTGTCCTCCTCCACTGGATTCAGCAGTAACCATGTGTTGTGCTCGTAAAACCTATGTGAYAAAATTGGTTACACTACAGGTTTGGTGATATGAATTGTAATGGGTTAAGATAAAGTGTCATGGAATAAAGAATTACTGAGAGATTCTGACTAAAGCTTGTAAAGTAACAGAAACTGTTTGGCTGTATGTCATGCATGTTTAGGAGAAGAACATGATGAGTTTGCCGTGCAGAAAGCAGATGTGGCCGTGGCTCCAAAGCGAGCAAGGGAAAGTTCTGATGAGCCAAAAGAACCGTGAGTTTTACACTAGATTTTTGAACTTTATGAATCCCTTTTTTTCATTTTCTGTATTGATAATGTCTGTTAGATTGCATGAGAAAAGCTATTTGAGCTTGAAAGTAACACAGCTCACTTCACTATGTGTCAAGCATTGCAAAACCCTTCATTTGGCCTGCTTTGCTTGTTCTAGCTTCTTGTAATAGAGTTTTTCTGATGGCTTGTATTAAGTGGCCTGAATTAATGTCAAATTAATAA